ATTTTAATTTCAGCCTTACCCAAAAGTCTTACTTAGGCAGGCATTCACTTCTGGTATTCATACTTAAAGATGAAGGGAGTTTTTGGCAGGCTGCACAAAGAGAGAAAAGCCTAAGTCTCAAGCGTGCTCTGTGCCTGGTGCGCTTCCCACCCAGCCGCCCAGACAAGAGCAGCATTTAGGATTTAGGATTTATGACCCCAGCTGCAGAACCTGTAACTTTCTGACAGACTTTGCAGCTTGGGCTGGATCTTTACAGAGCACAACTGACAAACAGCAGCACCGGAGTGTTTGTGATATAGATCCAGACCTATAGGGCACTGAGGCTTCAGACTGGGGCAGACTATGTCAGTTTGTTCATGGCCTTCAAGTGCTGAACTCCTGACTCTAGCCTTAGTGCACCAGCTTTAATGTTGATTAATGATGAAAAGCACCTTTTACACTGGATTGAAAAAAAAAAAAAAAAAAAGAAATTATGGGCTTTTTTCAGGCTTCAGAATGAGCCATTTAGGAGCCTACTTGTGGTTTAAAAAAAAAAAAGTGCAACTGCCTTGTCAACTTCCATTTAAAATAATTTCGCAAGCACCTTTCTTTAAAATATGAATTTATTTTATGGTCTTTATTGTATGCAGTGATCAACTGAGACTGAGATATGTAATTGCTTCAACAGTGCAAATTAAACTTATTCTTTGCACTGAAATCTTAAGCACCCAGTTTTAAGAAAATAGTATCCCATTCGGACTACTTAACTATAGCTGTGCTGACTGCTTCTTACAACTCAGCCTTCAATACCCTTGAATAAGGGCAGAGTAACAGAATAGCCTTCAATACCAGCAAATAAACATAGTCAGTTATTCAGTCTGATTACTGCATCCATTCTGGATACGAAACCAGGTATTAAGGTCTTTTTGAAAGAACTATCATTACCCTAGCACAGGGCACCTATACAMGGTACTCAGCTAATGTAGGTATTCATGTATTTGTTTTAGGATTGCTTTAGCATTGCTTCCCCTCTCCAAGGTGGAGAGGAATTGTTACTACTTGTCCATCAGCTATGACAGATAGTTATCAGCCAGATAGCTTCTTTTTTTTTTTTTTTGCTGTTGTTTCAAATTACAGGACTATTTTAGGTGAGGTAATCTTTCGCTCAAAGGGCCCACATTCAAACAGCAAAAAGGGAGTCCAAGATCATTAAATATACATTAAAAAAAGTGGTGTTACAGTTGCAAGGCTGCCTTATGCAAAGGGAATTTGTCATCATCGATCTAAGAATCAGCACAGCGGGATGATATCATTCCTCCTCCTCTGACTCAGGGGGCCTGCAGACTCCTGCCTGGTTTCAACTTCCAGTTCTGCAGCCATCCTTCAGGGTGGACTATTTCTAACACAGCAAGGAGAAGCTTTAGGCTTCGGAGCTAACTAACTCCAACCTGATTGCTGTCCTAGGGAGAAAAAATATAAAATACAAATAAAACAACAACAAAAACACATGCTACTGACATCTTAGTGATGTAAGCATTTGGTATATCACGTTGTTCTGACAGTCATGATGCTGAAAGGGGTTAGCAAATATATTCTAGCAGTCATCATCCAGCTATACATTTAATAAACTTACTTAAGACTGGAGAATTAATGCACTCTGAGATGCAATAGGGGACCAACCTCTGACCCTTCCAGCACCTCTCAGGTTTTTCACTCGTGTTTTCACATGKCCCCCCCGTCACTGCACCACTGCACAAAACTTTCAGTGTTTTAATGAGACATTTTTCTCAGCATACAGGGAGCACCAAAGATCCCACTTACTCCTGCCAAATCCTTCTCAAATTGCCACGGAAAATCACCACCAGCACATTTACCTATAGCAGCAAGTTTCCAGGTGAACCACAGCAGGTTTTGGGGAATCTTTTGTGTGATTCAGATTAAAACGAACACTCCTAACTCAAATCTTCAGAGACCTTTTTAGTGTGGCTACCTGCTTAGTTAATTTGGGGTATGCTCCCTGTCTCAGACCAGCAATAAGGTCACCTCATCAGAAACACAGCTTTCTTGCTACCAATTTTCAGTATTTGAAAATAAAAACAAAATACAACTTTGTGCACCTACTGCTCCTGACAGCAAAGCAAGCTGGCCAAGCAGCCGACTCATGGATACTGGGATGGGGATTGGAGGCTCGCTGGGATTCACGCAGGAAGCCTGTGCACTGCCATGAATGGAATCTGGTTTTCCTGGCTCCCAGTCACATGCCTTAACAAGAATAAAAGGATACGAATATCTTTTCCTTTGTTCTTCACCTTTGAGATTCCTCCACTTCAAAGGCCACAAAGAACTATATTATACTGCTCAGACCAGGGCCCGTGAGCTTTTTTTTTTTTTATAGGGGGGATAAGGGGGAGCGAGTCAAGTTTAAAAGCATTTGAGACAGGGGTTCCTTTGGTCTGATAAACAGTTAGTGCCTGGAAATTCTCTTCCCCTACACTAAAAATTAATTTTGGATGAAGAATCCYGTGGAATTCCCATCCCCACCGCTCTTTCAGCGGGGTCAGTGCTTGTGACAAACACGCTCTGAGGAAGCCCGGGTCAAACTCCGCGCTCCAGGACCCACGTCCCGGGGCCTGCAGACAGTGCAAGTTCTTTTTATACACTGCAAAGCCAGCAACAGAGCGGACAGAAATTTGATCTTTGTGGGGGAAAAAAAAGAAAAAATGCATCTGAAGCAACCTAGAATCCTCCTTATATGATTATATATTGCATAAAGTATGACAGCACAGAGAAGATGGGCATGATGTTAACTTAAGTGGAATTCAGCCAGGAAAGCAACTGGTGAGGAAGGCAGCGAGGAGGAGGATTTGTAGCATCTTCCTCTGTAGATGGATGAGAGCAGGGAGCAGGACTTGGCTTCAGGGGGCCCACCTCGTGTCTATACTGTCCCCAACACACTCAGCAAGGAGTCAGCTGCACCACCACAAACTGCACATTAGCTCTGCAAGCGTTCAGTTTTACAAGTGTGAACTTGGAAGGACCTCCTTAAGCAACGTTTTTGTGCAAATATACACGGTAACAATAAAAATATCCCCCTCAAACACTCCCCCCCCAAACATTTCACCCTCTGCTCCTACCTCTTTCGTAACTAATTCTTTTTATGACCTGATCCTCTGCACAGAGGCTAAATATTTTATCACCAGCGAAGCAGCTCAACATCAGATAAGAAATAAAAGCAGAAGCAGCAGCTGAACTGCTCGGGAACAAGGATCCTATTTTTATGCAAACGCCACTGTCCTGTTTTTAAGTGGCTCAAAGTACCTGAAAATACTCTACAGAGAGCAGTCCTGTCTGGTGRATAACCAAGACGTCTAGCAGGTCCTCAGCGCCCGATATTCTGCATTTCTCTTGTGGAGAACTGAAGCAATAGCAGCTTTTCGGTGCTGTTTTCCACCTCCCCCGTCCCCAACGGGGCTCCATCGAGGTCTTTAGTCACTTATGCATTATTTCTTGGAAAGGATATTTTTGCTTCCGCATCCGAGCGGCGGCCGGGAAGCTGCCTGCCCGGCGTGCGAGGGCCACGCTGCTGTTTTAAGAACTTCTCAGTATTTCAGGATGTGGTGCCGGCGAGGGGACATCTGACCCAGGCCAGGTGAATTTGCTGGGCCCCACATGTGGTTTTCCAAAGCACCCAAACTGCTTCAAGCTTAAGGTGAGGAAACATAAGCCTATGGGCCCCAGTGCCCAGGGAGCATCACTTCAGGAACAYGGGAAAATAGGTCTAAATCCACGTCCGATCCAGATGCAAGAGAAATAAAGCAGTTCACAAACTCATGTGGGGACCCCAGACACAGCTCCGCAACTCACAGCCCATCGGCCACGGGGAAACAAATGCCCAAAAGCGCCATGGAAAGGGAAGGGAAGGGGGAGGCTCATCCCGGCTCCAGCACTGGGAATCCAGGGGGGATCTTCCCGCGGCTCCAGCACTGGGAATCCAGGGGGGATCTTCCCGCGGAGCGCGGGGACAGGGACACGGCGCTGGCTCCTCAGAGTGTGACCAGGGCCGAAGTTGGGAATGGGAAGCGATGAGAGGGAGCAGGGGAGGCCTCGGGCCGGCTCCTGCTGCTCCGGGATGCAGGGAAGCGGTGGCCGCGGCACCAGCCTGTGTCCCGTGTCCCACACGCAGGGCTGTCACCTCACCTGCACCTCCAAAAGCACTTCTTAAGGAAGAAAACAACGGAATAATAATAGTAATAGCAGCAATAACAATAACAGGCGTGGAAGGGGGGCTGAGCATCACCAAAGCAGGCGCAAGCGGCCCGTCCAAAACACCCCCCCACCGTGCTGCACAGCCATCCTCACCTGAGTACTTACCAAAAAGCCCCAAATCCGCCCCAAAACAATCCCTCCCCCTGCATCCCCTTCCAGAGGCCRGGGAACTTTCTTCCCTTTCCCTCCTCCCACTGCTTGGGCCTTTAGGGATGTGCAGGGAGGGTTGGGAAAAGGGGGGGGAAAGGAAAAGGGAGGTGGGAGGGAAAAATGGGGGGAAAGAGGGAGGAAAAAGAAGGGGAAGAATGGAATAAAGGGGGGATAGGAGGGAAAAATGAGAGGAAAGCGGTGGGGGGGAATGTGGGGAAATGGGAGGGAAAGGGTGGAGGAGGAGAGGAAAACTGGGTGGGAAAGGTGGAAAAAAAAGGAAAATAGAGGGGAGAAGGCTGGGGGAAAAAAAGAAAGAGAAAAATACAAGAGAGAAGGCCGGAAAATAAAGGGGAAAATAGAGGGGGAAAGGGTGGGGAAAAGATGGAAAATTGAGGGGGGAAAAGAAAGGAATATTGGGGGGGGCGTGGAAAAAAAGGTGGAAAAACTAGGGTAAAAGGTGGAAACAAAAGAGACAAGTTGGGGAGGATGGGTGGAAACAACAGGGGCAAACTGGGAGGGCAAGGTGGGGAAAAGGGTGGGAAACGRGGGGCGAGGCGGCACAAAGGCGCTGCGGGGCGCGCGTGGGGGGTCGCGCGCGCACTCACCCTGGCGGCCCACGATCTCGGCCACGTGCTCGGAGCTGGGCACGGGCACGCACTCGGTGCTGTTGACGCTGCGGCGGCGGAGCAGCGCCGCCTGCTCGGCGGGCAGGCCGCCGCCGCGGGGCAGCGCGGCCGCC